GTGGCGGAGGTCCTAGTGAGATGTGGAACATACTCCACATCAGTCTCCACATCAGTATCCTCAACGATCAGCCAAAAAGACGGTGCCACTGATTTCGATTCGCCCTTTGCGGCGTAAGTCAGAGCTTGCTTGGGGGACATAGTACCTGTAAGAGCTTAGTTAGTATCAAGACAAGCAAATAACACACTCGGAAAAATTTTAGAACAAGAAACGAACCAAAACCAAAACTAAGAAATTCTTGGACAGTAGCAGAACTATCCACCTACTGTGGGTACCTACGGTTCGTGGATGAACCTACGATCCGTAGGTCCCCTCTGTAGGTTAGGGTTCCCAAAAGTTGAGTCTCTGATATGAACCACGAAAGTGCAGAACAGTCCATCGATGGAACGACGAACTGTAGTCCACCTATGTGGTTCCACACTGGGTGACTATTTCATGTGCAACGGGCCCACGAACCCAACCTACGGATTGTAGGTCAGTGGACGGGGTCTCGTGGGTCAGTTCTGTGCCAGGTATCAGACATGCCACATATTGTACTCATTATTTCAGCAAATCAATTAATCAACCTAGGTTTAATCATGCATTTCAACACAATATATGGTAGTTCGTCATCCTTAGGGTTCCATTTTCACAAGAATTTACAGATTATCATACCAAAACCTATGAACCCCAAGTCAAAACTTTCAATTCGGCCTATTAACTTGGATTTTTCAGTTTTTAGGTAGTTACACACTCACATACCATCATACCAAGGGTGTTCTAGCATACAATTTCACATACTAACACAAAATTAACAACCCAAGGTCAAGTTCAAACTTTGTGACTTTGTTATACAAACTATGTACAGTGAATTCAAAGTAAGGGCGAAGTCATTTACCTTTCAAGTAATAGAAGTGGGTGAGTGTGATGCAATGAACTTCTAGACCCTTTGACAAGCCTTTGACACCAAATCCGTACTGTGGAATCGCTAGGGAAGTGGAGATGAGGGATTTGGAAGGGAGAAGAATGATATGGGAATTTGGGGAAGTGAATGGGGGCTTGACTGTGGGATTTCGGAGTTAAATGGAGTGATTATGGGAGAGGAAAGGTTTAAGAACAATTGGGAGGGAGTTCTAATTGTTGGGAATGAATTAAAAATGGGAGGTTTTATTTTATAAGGTGTCTGGGTCGGGTCGAGCAAACCCTAGGTTTTGGACCCACTAGACCCATCTACGGTCTGTGGGTCGACCTATGAACCGTAGGTCAGGTCCATAGGTCACTCTTACACTTAGAAAAATTAGGAACTTACTTGGAGTCTACAGACGCCATTCACGGTCCGTAGATGGACCCACAGACCGTTGATGGGTTCTGTAGACCTCTACACAGCCTTTTTCTGTAGATTCAGCTTTTCATCCCTGCATACCTAGCAACCATCAGGACTTTCTTTTTACATTTTCTAGACATTTTTTAGACACGGACCCTATGTTATATCTAGCCAACACTAATACAAAAATAAAACACCTATATAAAGAGTTACAGAAATTGAAATAAAAGAAGAAAACTCCTAAATCGAAAAGAAAAACCTATAGTTGGCTAGATTGTACATCTTGGGTTGCCACCCAAGCAGCACTTGATTTAACGTGCCGGCACGACGCAGGCCCTTGATTACTCAGAATTCATCAAGGTAATAGACCTCAATCACTTCTTGCACACTCTCCAATTGCCCAATGTAGACTTTGATCCTTTGCTCGTTCACCTTGAACCTTGTTCCCTCCTTGTTACCTCTCCATGTGGAAACACTTGAGTGACTTTGAATGGCCCGGTCCACTTGGACTTGAGCTTGCTAGGAAACAAGTGCATCCTTGAGTTGAATAGAAACAGTAGATCACCCACAGCAAATTCACGCTTCTCAATCTTTTGATCATGATATTTCCTCATCTTCTCCTTGTACAAGGCCGAACTTTCATAAGCTTTTTGGCGAAACTCATCAAGCTCATTCATGTCATTCACTCTTTGACTCGATGTGGCGCCCCAATCCAAATTCAATTTCTTTAGTGCCCCATAGCCTTATACTCTAGCTCTACCGAAAAATGGCACGACTTCCCATATACAAGTTGGTAGGGGGACATACCTATGGGAATATTTAATGCGGTGCGGTAGGCCCATAGAGCATCATCAAGCCTCTTTGACCAATCAGTTCTATTTGCATTCACAGTCTTTGCAAGGATTTGCTTTATCTCTCTGTTTAACACTTCAACTTGCCCACTAGACTGCGGATGGTAAGGAGTGGCTACATTGTGACGGACTCCATATTTCTTTAGCAACGCCTTGAACAACTTATTACAAAAGTGGGAAGCTCCATCACTGATAATTGCCCTAGGTGTACCAAATCTGGAGAAGATATTCTTTTTCAAGAATGCGGTGACACTTTTCCATTCAATGTTTGAAAGCATAGTTGCTTCCACCCATTTCGGCGTATAATCAACCGCAACAAGAATATACTTCATCCCATGTGAACTCACAAATGGACCCATAAATTCAAGGCCCCATACATCAAACAACTCAATCACCAATATCGGATTCATAGGTAGCTCTTGCCTCTTTGAAACTCCTCCTTCTCTTTGGCAACGATCACAAGACTTGGCGAAATCATGAGCATCTTGGTGGATGGTAGGCCAATAATACCCACACTGCAAGATTTTATGAGCAGTCCAAATATAACTATGATGCCCAGGCGATGAATGACACACCTCTAGTATACTCAACATCTCAAACTCGGGCACACAGCGACGAATAATCCCATCAGCACAAATACGAAACAAATAAGGCTCATCCCAAAAGAACTTCTTCGCATCATGCATAAACTTTTTCCTTTGGTGAAAAGAAAAATCGGATGGAACCAAATCACTTGCCAAGAAGTTAGCAAAGTCTGCGAACCAAGGAATAAGATCATGAGAAGCGGCCAATACCTGTTCGTTTGGAAAAGCATCATTAATTTCAACCCGATCTCCTAGCTTGAGCATAGCTTCCTCCTCTAATCTGGACAAATGATGGGCAACTTGATTTTCTGTCCCCTTTCTATCTTTCACCAAAAAATTGAACTCTTGCAGCAATAATACCATCTAATCAACCTCGGTTTTGCATCCTTTTTAGACATTAGATACCTCAATACAAAATGGTCAGTATGCACTATGACCTTAGTACCAAGCAAGTAGGATTGAAATTTCTCAAATGCGAAAACCACAGCAAGGAGTTCTTCTTCAGTCACTGTATAGTTCTTTTGAGCCACATTCAGAGCTTTGCTGACATAGTAAATAGGATGAAGAATCTTCTCTCACCTCTGTCCCAATACCACACCAAGCGCCACTCCACTCACATCACACATCACTTCAAACGGTTGTCCCCAATCTAGTGAAATAATGATAGGTGCCAAAACTATCGTTGCTTTCAACTATCCAAATGCTCTCAGACAAGCATCAACAAAAACAAACTTACACTCATTTTCGAGCAATTTGCACAATGGGTGTGCAATTTTGGAGAAATCCTTAATAGACCTCTTATAAAAGCCTGCATGCCCAAGAAAACTTCTAACACCATTAACAGAGATAGGTGGTGGAAGCTTTTCTATTACCTCGACTTTAGGTCTATCAACCTCAATACCCTTCTCAGAAATCCCATGACCCAGAACGATCCCTTTTTTCACCATGAAGTGGCACTTTTCCCAATTGATCACAAGATTGCACTCTTCACACCGTTTCAGTACCTCGGCCAAATGCATCAGACAACCATCAAACGAGGCACCTACCACAGAGAAATCATCCATAAATACCTAAATAGTGTCCTCCATCATATCTGAAAATATCGACATCATGCAACGCTGGAAGGTCGTTGGATCATTACACAACCCAAAAGGCATTCGTTTGAAGGCGAAAGTCCCATAAGGGCAAGTGAAGGTGGCCTTTTCTTGGTCTTTCGGAGCAATGGAGATCTCATTGTTGCCCGAATAACCATCAAGAAAGCAATACCAGCCCTTACCAGCAAGGCGATCCAACATCTGATCCATGAAAGGAATAGGGAAGTGATCATTTTCTGTCCAACCATTCAATTTCTGGTAGTCCATGCATACTCATATCCAGTCACACGTCACATCAGAACAAGCTCATTTTTTGGATTAAGAACCACAATAATCCCACCTTTCTTGGGCACGCACTGAACAGGACAGACCTAACTACTATTTGCTTGGGATATATGACTCCAGCATCCAACCACTTGATGATTTCCTATTTTACTACCAGTTGCATAGGCAAATTTAGTGTCCTTTGGTGCTCGATACTAGGCTTAGTGTACGGTATGAGTTGGATTTTATCTGAACAAATGCAAGGAGGGATCCCAATAATGTCCACAATAGTCCAACCAATAGCTCGATTGAACCTCTTCAACACAGAAACAAATGCCTCAACTTGCATCTCACTCAAATTGGCCGCAAGGATGGCTGGTAAAGTGCCATATCTCCCCAAGAATACACACCTCAAATGTGATGGTAGAGCCTTAAGCTCCAATTTTGGAGCCTCTTTAACAGACGATTTTGCAGGTGGAGAGTCGCGATTCTTTATATCTAGCTCCAATCTTTTTGGTTTGGAATGGAATTCGAACCTATCAAGTGTGGCAACTAATTCATCATAGTCTTCAATACCATCACCCTCAAAATTCATCATTACCGCTGCAAGTGCATCAATACCTAACCTCTCTTCAAAAGACACATCAGAACCTCGCTCCATAATAAGATTCACCACTGATACTAACTTGAGATCACTTTCATGTTTCATAGACCTACAGACATTGAAAGTTACCTCTTCATTATTCAATTAGAAATTCATCTGCCCTCTCTCCATATCGACCAAGGCACGCCCAGTAGCAAGGAATGGTCTCCCTAGGATTATGGGAACCTCAAAATCAACCTCACAATCCAATATCACAAAATCTACCAGAAAAATAAACGACTCCACTTTCACAAGTACATCTTAGAGAACACCAATGGGCTTCTTCACAGTTCTATCGGCCATGAGTAATCGCATCGCAGTCAGTTTTGGAGCCCCTATACCCAACTTCTTGTAGATAGACAATGGCAACAGATTAATACTAGCACCCAAATCACACAATACCTTCGCAAAATGCAACAACCCGATGGTACAAGGAATAGTGAAAGCACCAGGATCCTCTTTCTTTTGCACAAGTGACCTAGTAGCAATAGCACTGCAATGTTGCAACCTATCATCATCTTTAAAACTGACGGCCCTCTTCTTAGTCACTAAATCTTTCATAAATTTTATGTACCCAGGCATTTTCTCCAAAGCCTCTATCAACGGAACATTGATGGAAAGCTGCTTCAACATAGTAATGAACCTGCGATATTTTCCTTCTTCATTTTTCTTCACCAATCTCTATAGGAATGGCGATGGAGGTCTAGGCATGGGAATAAATTTTTGCTTCACCTCTACTTCCTTGGACTCTCCAACAACCTCGATCTCATCATCATCTTTTTCTTCCACAGTTTCAACCTTAGACGACATAGGGGGATCAATGGTTTGTTTACCTCCTCGAGTGGTGACTGCCATACAACCTTAAAAGATTTATAGAAGAAAATATTACAATACTAGAGTTCCTTGCTTCAAAAAGGCCTTATAAGGCATTTTTCGGATTCTGGATGATGTTGCTAGAAAGTGTGCCAGGCTGACGTGGGTTTACTGTAGTGGACAACTGATTCATCTCTTGCTCAAGTTGCTTGATTGACACTGCATGGGCATCAACTTTTTGACCGATTCCAGACAAGTCATTTTGCATCTCCTTCACAATCTCATCAGTCGCATCAAACCACTTCATCATCTTTTGCATCATATCCTCGAATCCATGACATACTACCCCAACTTCTCTATTGCAAAATTCTCAATTTGCACGTGGAACATAAGGCCCAACTCTCTCGTATTGGTTGCCATATTTGTTCCAGTTGTAGCTGTTGTCGCGATTGTAGTTTCCATGCCGGACATAGTTTCCCTCTCGATTGTAGTTACCATAGTTCCGACCTTGGTGCTAATTATCCAAATTGGAACCTTGGGCGTTGGCTCGGAAACCCCCGTCTGATCATTCACCAAATAACCATCCTCCTCAAGGTAGCATTCCTCAACTAGTGGTGGTGGATTTCTAGTAAGATAACTTACCGCATTTACCTTCTCTGCACCTTCGGTCACATGCTTTAGTACTAAACCAATTTTGTTCTCATATGGTCCATCTCTTCACGAATATCATCAGCAGCTTGACTAGGCGCAGCTTGAACTACAAATGTGCTTCTTCCAATGTCTGACTTTCTAGTTGTAACGACCCTAAAATCTAGTAGGTGAAAATAGAGCTCAACGACTTTCGTTTTAAGTTTAGTTTTGGGTTTCATGTGATAAAATGTTATCCCGAGCTATGGTTGAGGGGTTTAGGGGTTAAAAATCAAGGTACGACTCCCCAAGGACCACCCTAGGGGTCCTTGAGAAGGACCCTAAAGCCTAACCCCAAACCTTCCCAAAACTGCCCTAACTAACCCAACTTGGTGAACCACGAAAGGGACCTACGGGGTGTAGGTCCATCCATGCCTCGTGGTCTTGATCCGTACGTCAAGGCCTTCAAGACCAAGCCCCACCCACGAAACAAGGACAGCCAGGACGGTCCGTGGACTCATCCACTGTCCGTGGATTAGGTCCGTGGTCCATCACTGTAAAAGTTATCTTAGGTTCGGCAAAGGCAAGCGTGTCTCCAATGTTTTTCCCGAAACCCTAGATTTCAATCTATGCATGGGTTCGATTCTAAAAGATTTCCAAAGGTTTTATTGCATTGATTTATGAATGAATTGTGGATTTAAAGATAAATTAAGATGATTTCTTCTTAGAACCCATGTTTTCCCCTAAATTCTTAAGTTGTGATTTGTGATTGAGATTTGATTGATTATGAAGTATATGGGTTGTTTATGTGTATACGGATATAGTATGTTGAAATTATGTTATTGATCTTGCCAAATTGTATTGATCTAAGGTAGGTGGGTGTATATGATCCATGGCCTTGAAAGGCAAGGTATGAAGGTCAAAGTATGATTATGATGTGAAGGATATATATATATATGTTAATTCAATGATAGTATAATGATCATGTTTAGAATGTAATAGTGTTGTGATAGAAAGCATATTCTCAATTAATACTCATGAATGTTGATGATGGAATGTGAAGGGTTTTCTACTATGAATTGTATATCATAAATTGGTAGGCTTATGCATCTTTTTCTTGTAGAAATGGAAGTAATGTGATTGTGATATCTTGAATTGGTAGGCTTAGGCATCATTTCTTATATAATGAATGTATCTTGCTTAATGTTTTAATGTCTTGAATTGGTAGACCTAATGTTGGCAGCCTTTCATGAATGAATGAATGATAAAGTATTCTAGGATAAACCTTGGATCAGTAGACCTAATGGTGGTGGCCCTTCATGAGTAGTCTAGGAACTAATGTAATGTTAAAACCTTGAAGCGGTAGACCTAATGTTGGTGGCCCTTTCATGTGTGAAATGATGAACCTTGTATTGGTAAACCTAATGTTGGTGGCCCTTCTTAGAAAGTCAATGAGCTATCCTTAATGTACCTTGAATATGTAGACCTAATAGTTGTGGCCCTTTCTTGTGTAATGTACCTTGGGTAGGTAGGCCTAATGTTGGTGGCCCTCTTAAGTACAATAATGTTGATGAAAATGAAATACTTTATGGGAATGGAGGCTAAGCACTGAGAGGATATGGTTAGATGGAGGTTCTCCCTACGTTAAGCCGGAATTCAATGATCATATTTCATATCCCATAACTATGTGCGCACATAGGATATTAGCTAGTGGATTCCATCCAAGCTAAAATGTTACCAGTTCTACCTTAGGCAAGTAGAATACCTTCCTTCGGTGTGGGGTCATACGACACCGGATTCCATGATTTTGCTCTCATGGTCTATGTCGGTTAATGCCTATTCCCATCATGTGAGATGTGCATTATGGTTTCTTGAATAGCCCTTTGAAGTGTAGGTGGTAGTATGGGATGCCATCCATGCATTGCACAAGTAGGCTTCGAGAGAGTCATAGTGAGTTCTCTAAGTCTTAATGGCTAATGTATGAATGTATCCTAAATGAAGCTAATGAAGAATGTTGACTCTTATATGCTTAAATGAGATGATGCATGCTATACTTAGATTGTATTATGAGTTACTTCCTTGTTATGACTTAATGAGTATTAATGTGCCTTGCCTATGGTGACTTCAAAGGAGTACTTAGTGTGAGTAGTAGTATGGGATGCTACTTGCACATTCCACAAGTATGACTTAGGGTTGTCTTAGGTGATGGTCCTTATGTGATGATATGTCTAATGAAATGTTTATGTCTCTTATGTATGAGTATTATGTAAAGATGGAAAGGTTGAATGGTAAGTTCACTTGTGGTGACCTTAAGGTGGCACTTTAGTGTGGATGGTGGTATGGGACGCTATCCATACATTGCACAAGGTATAGCTTGAGGGTTACTTGAGGTGAAGGTTTAATGTGAAGTTAATGGTTTATATGTTGATTATGTCCTAATGTGAAGAAATTATGTGTATGTTGGTTATGTTTGAATATTATGCCTCTTATACTTATGTTCATGAGGCTTTATCAAAATGGCATAAAAGCATGACTTTCAAATAAAATGTTCGTTTTAAGCATGGTTTTTGCATGTCTATCAGACTTAGTACTTAATTGTGCTAACCCATTCTTCTTAATGTTTTACTACAAGTGTAGGTTCCGGCAAGTGAGTTCCTTTCTCTCTAGTTTAAGCTTCGATTTGAGGTTCTCCAAGCCTAAGTGGTATGTCCTCATAGATCGAGGACAAGTGTTTAGATACTTCCTTTCTTTCATGTAATAGTCTTTGTTAGTCTTTCGATTGTAAATGGTTGTGTCCCTACTTTAGTTTTCAAGATGTTATTTAGATGGCCATGTGAGACAATAGACTTCTATTGTGTTTCAAGTCTTTTAAATGATTTTGATTGTATGGTTTTTAATAAAGTTTTAATTTCGTACTATTTCTCTTGTAGAATGCATTGAAATGTTATGAGGCTTGAATGAGACCCCTTCGGGGTCAAGTACGTCGTGTTGCATCTAGGGGCTAGCCTTGGATCATGACAAACATGGTATCAGAGCATAAGATTTTGGAAATGCTTTTTAGGATTGATGTCTCACAAGCCACGTCTAGTAGAGTCTTGTTCATCGGTGTGAGTCACAACACATCTATGAGCAAGGGGCTATAGGACGATAGGAAGTTACACTTGTTCCATATTCTTGAAGTCGTGCCATAGAATTTGACTCCTAAGTTCTCTCTCTTATTCCTAATCTGATGGTCTTGAAGATGTGACTACTCGAAGGGCTGATGCTACAAGGATTGAGGGAGAAAAGGGTGAGTGTTGATGTAAATTATGGCTATGTGACTTGCTAGACTTGAGATGATAGATTGTGATGTTGTCTTTAGTATGAATGGGTTGCTTTATGGTTATATGTGTTGATGGTAGGAAGTCATGATGAGTTTTGAGGAATGTTTAAAGGTTTGATGAATGAGGTGTTTTAGGAATGTTTTGATGGGTTGAGTGAGTAGACTTCTCTAAGAAGGGTAGAAGTATAATTCACCTCGATTTAGAATCATCTTGTGTGATGAGTGTGAGGGTTTAGTGATGTTTTTCTATGACCTTAGAATGGAAAGAAATGAAGTTTAAAAGAGCTTGTATAGGCTTACTCTTAAGTGGGGGGGATAATGTGCTTAGATGGTAAAGTCATTGAGTGTCCTTAATGTTCATGAGTTAGGCTTGCTTGATAATCTCACCTTAAGAAGTGTAGTGAGTTTGAGGAGTTTGGACCCAGTGTGGTAGACCCATATGAGACCTTGAGTGGTATTGGTAAGGTTGTTTGTGAGCAAGAGTTGCTTAATGAGGACTTTCCTAGTTTAAAAGCACTGGTATGTTGATGGTTTATTATAAGTTGTGAATGTCTTGATTAAGGTTCCTATGTTGTTTTCATGTTAGCCTTAGTTGGGTTTACTCCTAAGTGGAGGATAGTATGTTGAATAGTAAGGTTGTTGAAAGTTCTGATATCCTTATCTCTTCCTTCTATTCCTATTCAAACTTGAGACCAAAAGTTCCTTGTAGCTTGTTTCATGTTGTGGAGTCATGTGTGAAATGTGTTTCCATGGTCTCCTTATGTTATGCATGTTCTAGTTGAATTCTTGTTTATATGAGAAAATGAGTTTTCATGAAGTATGTTCCTCATGTTAATATGCATTGAGTATGAGTCGTATATATGTTTCATGAGGTTGAATGTTGAACATGCCTAAATGTGATTTTATAAGAAATTGCTTAATGTGCTTAATGATGTTGTCATGAGCATGATATGAGTTGGAGAAGGTAATTCTTCCAATGAAATGAGAAATGTTGAAGTTATGATGCATAATGAGTTTGTAGATGTAGTTCCTACCTTCTTGTGTTGTATTGAGCATATTGATGTGGAGTTGATGTTTCCTCCTAGTTTTGTGCATTGTTTATTATGTTGCATGCATGATGGGCTGCTAATCTTGAGTCGTTAATCCCTTAATGTGCTTAAAGTGTCATTCGATGACGAATGTTCCTAAGTGGGGGTTAACGTAACGACCCTAAAATCTAGTAGGTGAAACTAGAGCTCAACGACTTTTGTTTTAAGTTTAGTTTTGGGTTTCATGTGATAGAATGTTGTCCCAAGCTATGGTTTAGGGGTTTAGGAGTTAAACGTCAAGGTACGAGTCCCCAAGGGCCACCCTAGGGGTCC